TGGCAGCCGTTACCTCAGCCGCCCTCCTCACGGCCCGCTGCCCCTGCGGCCTTCCTCAGGCCCCTGTGCCTCGAAATAAAGGGTTCCGCTGATAGGGTGCGGGTCTGTGGGAGGGCAGGCAGGTGGCCAGGCCTGCACACACAGGTCCATGGCTAAAGAGCGCAGGGTGCTCGGGTGAGCACCCAGCTCTTGTGTTCGCTGCTGCTTGGGCACATGAAATTCCTAATGGATGTCTTTTGTTCCCGTTTCTGCCAGTCTGGAAAATCGGTCTTGGCAAACTTTGTTTCAGAGAGCATCGAAGGGATTGGCAGCTATGTCCCGACGCAAGGTGTAAGGTGAGCAAGACCACGTCATGCTGACTGAAGCAAACCCCTGACAAATGATTGCCCCTCAGAAAGGTCCGCTATCTGGCTGTGGTGTTGTGCAGAATTATCTTACATCCACTCATTTTCACAGGATCCTGGAATATGAGAAGCCAAACTTAAACGGTAGCAGCAAGGGAGCTGGATGTCGATTTGAGCTGTGGGATTGCAGTGGTGATCAAAAGTAAGCCAGCTTCATCATCCCCTTACTTCTTCCAGGCTGCTTAAATCATAATAGTTGTACTTCTACAGAATGTTCATCCTTAACACCTAAAAACAATAATTTTCCTGAGATGAGAATTATTCTCGCCTCTACCTATCACAGTTTTTTATACCTCTCTACTGTAAAACATCTGGTACAAGGTCCTCTCTGCCATGATCCCAGTTGACACTAAATTTTGTTTTTGATGAGTGAATATGATGGTAAAGTCCATAGCTCCTAGAATGAAGATACAGGAGACAGAGAGTTCCGTTCTGTAACTGACTGTGCTAACTGAAAAAGGTTGAAGAATATTTGCTTTCTCTTTCAGTTTGTTTGCTTTGTATGTTGTTCTTTTACAATGCTTTTAGATTAAGTACTATTTAGGGAGAACAGTGTCTGTATTTGTAATAATCCCAAACTTGACCAGAACTCCACAGCATAAAGGATAAATATATTTACAGTTTTCCTGATTGTGGTTAGAGGCAGAGGGTGACTTGGTTTATGGGGCAGTGAGGAATAGACAGTATCTAAGAAAGGAAGGAAGACGTGGCTGTAAAAACTAACAAATATTGTTGAAGAGGATTCAAGAACTAGCTTATAAACTAGCGAATTTTATTCTCTTTCTAGAAAATTAATTAAACTGAATGACTCTAGGTTTTATTCCTTTTGAAAGTGACAGGACGTGGGAGGAATCTGGGAGAAGGACTATGTGCTAGAGAGTTAGATGATTTGTGACCCAGTTCCATAAGTTACTCTTCTTGAGAGAACCTGCCTTTATCCCGTTGAGGTTATTATGTGAGTGGACTTCAAACAATGTATGTATCTGGTTGAGACCTTAATTTCCAGAGCATACAATTGAGAACTGCAAAGATCTGTTTTTAAGGAAAGTGTTTAAATAGGCACTTGACCAAATATTACATTGTCGCCAAATCATGGGACCAACTAATATAATAGATAAGCCAAAACATTTGGAATATGATAGATCACTAGTAAGATTACTAATTTTATATATGGAAAAAGTACTGAAATGTGTTTTTGAGGTGGGAAAGTGAAAACTTCTGCAAGTTTGAATGCATGTTCCCATTTTCAAGCTATCAGTCTTACCATTTTCCATGCACCTGTTTTTCAAGGTTTGAAACATGCTGGCCAGCTCTGATGAAGGACTCCCATGGTGTAGTAATTATCTTCAATCCTGAGCTGCCCAGTCACCTGAAAGAAATTGAAATGTGGTACTCCTGCTTTGTGCAACAGCAGCCATTGCTAGATAGTCAGTGTCTTCTAGTCGCACATCACAAGCCAGGCCATGCAGGGGACACAGAAAATCTGTCCTTGGGTAAGGAGATGGAAAACAGAAATTATAACTTACAGGGTTTTTTTTTTTTTCCATTGATATCTTTATCTTTAAAGTTGGTGATATCTTATAACTTGCATTTTTCATTTAAATTTGTCAATCTAAGAATGTTAAGAGTGCTTTGCAAAAACAAAAAGATTAAATCTCAAAAGTCATCTAGAAGGTGAGCAATATTCCTGTTTTACAAAAGGGAAAGTAAAGACATGTCTTTCTCTTAAAATCATTATAGGCACCTTTTTATATGCTGCCCAATTATTTGTGGATATTCTTATAAATAAGAATAAATTGTTTTGTCATATGGGAAGCTGGAGACAAAGTCAATTTGATGCTACCAATCTTATGTTGGGTTTACACTGCTGTAAATGATTTCCGTAGTATTGGTCAGGCTAACTTTATCATAAAGTCAGAATCAATATCCAGCCTTTCTGACAGAGGTATACGGTCTACTGAAAGACCTCCTTTTTACTGGGCTTTGTTAGAAGCTTTCTAGAAATGATCAACACAAAGAAGCTTTAAGCAGAGACAGATCACGTGTATTGCAGATAATAAAAAAGGTGTCCCAGATCTCACTGTATTTTCTTGTGCAAGAACTACAAAGCAGTTTTGAGAAATGTGCGTCTAAAAGAAATACAGAAACACCAGATTAGGAAAATTAGGAGAATCACTCCTGTGTAACAGCAATGAAATTTCTACTGAACAGTCCTATTAATGCTAATTATCTAAGAAGAACGAAAGGTTTCTTATAAATAACCAACTTCCTCCTTCATAGTCACAGCAGAATTCATTATTGGCATGAAAAAGCAAGCCAGCTTCATAGTCAAGCAGAGAACCTCACTTCCCAGACTCCCAGTTCTCTCCATTGAATCACCCATTTCACTGCAAGGAGAGTTAATCAAATGTACCAAAGTTTGTCTGTAACAGTGACCCTTTTGTTTATCACAATAGCCTATAATGAAAAGAGTTCAAACATATATTTTATATAACAATAATAAACAGAAGCATAGAACTATTGAGGTTGGAAGGGACCTCCGGAGATCATCTAGTCCAGCTCCCCTGCTCCAAGCAGGGTCAACTACAACATCTCACTGAGGGCCTTGTCCAGTCAGGTTTTGAATATATCCATGGATGGAGACTATTAATATATATTTAATATAACAAAATACTTGCATAATTTTGAAGTGATCAAAGAGAGTCATATCAATTAAATAGTAAAATTTCTATTCAATACTGAATTGTTATATTCTGCCGAACTGAATGTGAGAGCAAAACCAATAGTTTAAGCCTTAATGATCATGTTCAAAGATTTTAATCGAGCAGTGAGTTACATTTTTCTGTAGTGCTAACAAGCTGGGTTGCATTTCTTCTTAATGTGTTCTACATCATCTGGGGTATCAAAAGTGGATACTGATGAATGCCAGCTGACTTCTTCAGCATGAGCTGTCACATGACCTTGAACGTAAATGCTTATTTTCTACAAAAAATATACCTAATTATTTTTTACTTAACTTCAAAGCTTCTCCACTGAACAAACTGAAACTAATACATTCCAACTTAGAAGAAGATCCTGAAGATGTTCGGATGGAATTTGTGAAATACTTTAGAAGCATTATCAACTTACTAAATGAGAACAGGGACAGGGAAGAAATGTCAATTATCTCATAATGTTAAAAGAAATACTGAGCAGGGAAGAGAAAGGATTATTTTCAACTTTATAAGCTGTACTAGCCTGTGAACAGATCTTCAGAAGAATTTGCCAGTCTATAAACACTTCAAAGAAAATAACACACAACTTGTGACTTAACCAGAAGAACCAAGTGCTGACATCAAATGAACTGTGGTGCCAAAGACTTGGCTGCACCTCCAGGAATTTAGGTAACTTTAGTTGCACTGTGGTTTCATTTGGCATCTGAGGCATAGGAAGGTATTGTTTAATATGTTAGTGTGGACCAAAAGATAAGGATATCAGTCATTTCTTCACTTCAGAATCCCGTTTTCTAGAAGTGCTAAGAGAAGAAAGCATGACAGAACCTAAGATTTATGGAGTTCTGTTGAAGCACCTCAGTAAAGTGTTCGTGTTAGCTGCGTTCCTGGAGAAGTTATGCTTTTGGAAGTCGGTAGAAACTGATTGGAATAGGGATCTGCAAAGTAGTTGCAATGTGGAATCCACGTTTTAATGCTCCAAATTCCCCTTATCTTTCTGTTCAGCATCTGAAAAGAATACATTTCATAGCTATTATCTTGACAAGACAGAGTAAAAAATTGCGGTCTTCCTCAGGACTAGGCTTTTCTTCCATTCCAACAAAATAAACTTTTTGGTGACCATGTTTAGCTCTCTCTAGGTGGAAAAGAATCTAAATCTCAGTATAATGCAGCCACTTTGACCTATGCTAGGAGCTCCAATAAAGAAAAAAAAGTGCTGCATTCTCCGAAGGAGGAAAAGCTGTTTCCAAATTTGTATTATTGTTCCCTGTAGCATTGAAACAACTGATTTCATAGATAATTTACTTTCTTATTCGTTTGCTTTGTGCTCATCCCTGCTCTTCTGTGTGTTTTGCTGCAGAAGACATTTTTCTGTAACATTTAATACTAAGGCAATAAAAACACATTTAAAGTGTATCCTTTTTGTTCTCAAATGGAAAGTTAATTAACGTTTTGTGGAACTGTGACTTGCTTGATTTTGTAGTGAAAAAAGTAGTGATAAGTTTGCAGTACGCTTCACACTAATTAGCAAACAAGAAAAGTTTGCAAAGGTTTGTCACAGACCCAAATAGCCAAAGAAATGATGAATGAAAGACAGAAGCACGTATCCATACTGACACTCATTTATTAGAGGAGAATTTTAAGGAGAGAGAGGTTGGGAGCAGGAACTGGAGAAATCCTTGAGAAGCATCCCATTCCACCTTGTACTGCCGCTCAATTTGTGCATTCTTACATCAACAGCTTGTCTGACATGTAGCACTAAATTTTACAAGAGATTTTATTTCATTATATCTTCTGTGCCACCCAGCTGTATTTGAGCTGTAGCTGTTTTACAAGCATATTTGTTAAAAAGAGCCTTGTCCTCTCATCACCTTTGTCTTTCAGTTAACATCCCTTACAGAAAGCATGTTAAAAAACAGGAAATACTTGGTGTATTTTAGTTCAAGACTGCAGAAGAGAAGAGAGTTCCTTGGGTTTTTCATGGATCTAGTTTAAAATCAGTCTGCTGTTTTTCCCATTGTCATAGTTCTTTCATTTCTGATTTGAGTAATGACTAGCTTGCTCTTGTACAAATGTTATCAGTTTCCCAAAATGGCAAGAAAAGGATCTTCAAAAATTTATTCCATTGTTTACAGAGCTTTCTCATGGCCTTCCCATAAAGTTGAGGTGCATTACAGAGCAATCAGGGCGTTATCCAGGAAACTTCAGTGAGAGTAAAAATCAAGCAGGGTTTGATGCTCTGTCACAAACTGATGTTAACAGTAGCTCAAGTCTTGCCCTGGCCTCCTCAAAATTGCCCACAGGTCTATCTCGGGGCAAAAATTGGCATTCCCTTTCTTTTGTGAATTCAGTCCCCGTCAATAGGATTCATTGTAATGGCCTAATAACGATTGATTGTGTATAGCAGCCCCAAATAAGCTATTTGTATTTTTTGCTTTCAGGAAGGAGATGATTTTTCAAAGTTGTTTTCTTTTCATATGTTACATGAAGACCTTCTACATCATCATGCTCCAGACCAACTAATATGTAGCCTGTCTAACATCTAATGTCTTTGTCTCAGTTGTATTTTGTACCTCCCCAGGTATTTTTCTTTTTGATTATTAAACCCTTTTTACTTAAAACCCAAGCATGCGAGGCAAAAGATTAAAAAAGGTCTTTTAAACAGTTCTTCATTGTAATAGCAGTAGCTACAAATAACACTTCCAAACATGCTGTACCAACCAGCTTCTACTTTGGAGAATTATGATTCTAGTGATATGCTGGTTTGCTCTGGTTGGTAGCAAGCCTGTGGCACACAAATTTGGTACCAATAACCTGCACTGTTCTTTTCTTTTGTGCTTGGTGTGCTTTCAGAATTTGCTGCCTCAGCTTCTTTTCATTGTCTGCTGGCTCATATTCTGCTGTTAAAGCTCCACTCAGTTATGAGATAAAAGGAAAGGGATACTGAAAGAAAAAATCAGTGAGAGGAAGGATCCCATGAAAGAAAAACGCAAAGTAAGCAATAAGACATGAAACGAAAAAGGTTGGAGGAGAATAGTGGGAGGCTGGCATTTCAAAATCTACATTTTATTTTTAAGACTTTTGAAACAATCAGACTGTATATGATTGCAATCAGAGTCATAGGCAGTTGGAGGCAGTTATTGAAAAAAATCACAGTCTAACTAGAGAACAAGTTTTTTACATGCTGCCTTAGATTATTTTTTCCTTCTTGCCAGCTGTGTGGTGCTGAAGCCAATTTTTAAAATATACTGCCTTAATAAATTCAGTTTTTCCCAACAGCAGCACTGTGATATGACCAGTAAACACTGGTGTGAAACCCACCATATATAATCTTACTTGGAACGTAAACCAGTATTTGGGTGATTCCAGGGATGAAAAGTCAGTGAACTCTCCTCTTCATCACTTTGCTTCATATAAAATGTTAATTGTGATCTTACCTTAAATTCAAAAAAAGATATGTAAAGTATAGATAGGTATATACTGCAAAACATTTCTCATTAGAGAAGAAAACTACTGTTATACAGAACTAAAGACAGATCCCTAAATTAGTACTTATATCATTCAGAAAGGCCACAATATGTAGTAAATGTGGGATATCATTCTTAGAATCTGGTCAAAGAGATTAAATTCTTGGCTGCTGAGGAACACAGCAAACGTGTGGACCAAAATTAATCTTTAGTACTGGAGAAGATACAGGGAAAGTGTTTATTCAGAAATAGCATTCATTAATGATTTATGAAACGGGTCCACAGAGAAGCCCAGGTAGAAGGGGGTAAAGAATGCCAGATGCTGGACGAATACGCATAAGTTTCTGTCTTGGCACCTTACAGCCTACCCGTCCGCTGCTATTAGTAGGTCTGCAGAGCTTCAAACAACTCCATAGCACTGTATTACGCAGACTGGGGGTTTGCAGGCCTCCTGCTTGTTTGCCTGAAGTGATGTAGTTAGTAAATGACCATTTTGTGGCTCTATATCTGCTTCTACTTGTGAGACCAAACAATTGCCCAGTCAAGTGGAAATGAAAATGGGAACATGAGGTAAGCAGCAGCAAATTCCACAGAAGTCACTTAGTTGACAAGCCATAGGTTTAACTAGGAGTTGAAAGAGGAAGGAGGAACTAGGAGGAAAAGATAACAGCAAATTTGCAGCCATCTGCACTGAGGCCCATACCCCATGCCTAGCACTTCAGAAAGGCTTTTTGGACAACCTTTCCAAGAAGTGGAAGGCAAGGTAGAGAAGGAGTGAATAGTCTGCCAATTCCTCCAAACAAATATAGCCATCTCTAGATGTCCTTTGGGCCTCAGAGTGAGCAGTTCATGTCTCCTTGTTCTGTCATCAGCCATGTACCCCCAAAACCCTTCTTTGCAAGAACAGTGCACAGATTGGAATTCTCTGAGTTACTACTCCTTTTGCATGGTTCCTTTTCCAAATTGAAACTCAGCACCTATTTGTTCCAGCATTAACTTTTCTGTACTCCCCTGTATTGTTAGGGTTTTGGGGACAGAATGTAGAATCAGGGACATGGGACTGGGTGTTTTTTCCTGAGCCTTTAATGAACAGAACATTTTCAATATTAATCCATTCAAATACATACAGCCTCCACAGTGCAAAATCCACACTCCAGGATATGCCAACTATGCAGTGAGAAGAAAAACTGATTTAAACAGAAGCCATACAGCTACAGCATTATTTTGTCATGTGGCATGAAGTATTAATAAGCTTAATGGCTTACATTACTGATGCCTTATTTATGCTATACAGAAATTATTGTCAAGGTTTTATTGCTGTGTGGCTACAAAAATTTTTAGACCTATAGGTGATCTCTACACAACTTCACACTCACCTCTCCTGAAAGTGGTTGCTACATCATTGCTTTGGACAGTTAACTTAAACTTGACACAGTCAGCATGGAGATGTGATAGGGAACAGTCAGACTCAAAAAAATTCTGCAGGGCTGGAAATGCAGAATTTTAAGACTTTGGGGTTGTGTATAGAAGGTTGATGGCTGTGGATATCTTGCAGCCACTGGTGATTTAAGACATTTAAGCTCTTCATCTATAAAATAGAGTTTTCTCCTGTTACCTCTTACAAGCCATTTCCTGCACACACACAACATTATGAAGCCAATAATTCCTGTGATGATGAAAACAGTTACAGGCGCTGCAATCCAGATGTGTGGCTTCCAGGGTAAAAATCATCCTTGTTTACAACCAAACTTTGGGAGTAACAGCAAAACTGAATGAAATACATTTGGACCCTACCAAAAAAATGCAGCTTTCCTTTCAAGTCATATATTTTGAAGGCCAGGCCTTTGGTCTCAGTTGCTCTCAGCATTGTTCTAATGGACACAATAGACATAAGAATCCCTATGTTCCTATTACTGAACTGCCAAGTAAGTGACTATGAGGAAGTCACGTAGGCCAGCATATTCAAGATTGCCCACCAGTACTGTATTTCTCATATGCTCATCTTAAAATATGAAGGGAGCCTACGTGCAGACACTTTAGGAAGCAACTTCCAGAAGGTATCCAGGACCTCTTAAAATCAGATCAACTGGAGTACCTTGCTTTGGAGGTCACTTGTGATTACTTCCACTTTTCCAGAAGCCTGCACTGGTGGAATGTTTCACTGGTGCGGCAGACAGTCCCCAAAAGATTGGTTACCTTGTTGAAAAGGTGCCTTTCCTGAGATGCTGTAACTTGCCTACCTTTAGTCATTGCTCCGGATGCCAGCATAGACACTATTAACGCATGTGAATAAAAGATACCATACTCTACTACTCCAGGCAGTTCAGGGGTTTAATTCATGTGTATGAAGCAGGCCAGTTATCAGTCCAGGTGTATATTTTTGCATTGATCCAGCTTATTTTATTTACTTAGGACAAGATTCCCCTTCGAGTGACTGAGGTTTAGATGCCTAAGTAAATCCTCTTAAAGACTCCTGATTTGAATTTGCTGAGAATTCATCCTCAGAAAATCAATCCTCAAAAAGCATCAGTATCTGGAAAACTTTTATCTCTTGCTGTAATTACCAGTCTGATGGAACTGACTTTGTGCAAATGGTGTACAGATTTGGTCACCCATGCTCAGAAAGCTACACAAGAAAGGGCCACCAGAGCGGCTGCAGAAAAAAAGAAACAATTATATGAGAAAAGTTTAGACTTTAGCAATGTAGGGAGAGAGGGGGCACACGCTTGATCTCTCTAAATGTATCAGGAAGAGAGAAAATTGACTGTATTTACCTGGACATAAGATAATAGGACCTATAAGATAACAGCAGCCATCACAGCAGGGATACTGTTGCTGAAAGACTGGACCATTCTGATTAAGTTGCACAAACCTGTGTATAAAGTAGTCTCTTATCACCTGCTTCTTTTGCTTATTCCTCTCTCCCACCTAACCCTGAATTGTAGGAGGAAATAATTTGACCATGAATACAAGGTGGCCTAATATTTAAGCTCTTTTTTCCCTGAAAGAGAGAAAAAGCAGGGGAAATCTCATATTCAGGCTCACCTTCTATTTGGCTTAAAAGCATTGTCTCAACTGAAAGACAGTTTTGGCACAAGAATACATGTGGATGAACTAGTCCTTAATAAATCTAGTCTGGAAATTAAAAAAGGTTTCTAACAAACAGAGTCTCCCAATAACAAACGGTGGGGAAAACGCACCTATTTTCAGAATGGTGCTTAATTAATAGCTTGTGATAGAGTGCGACTGGACTTGATCCTTCCAGTCCCTTTCTTAGGAAAACAAGGGGCTTATCTCTTTTTTATTAATGCATAGGAATTTTTCACAGAGGTGAGAGTGAACCAGAACATTTGCTGCAAACTTTCTTGAGCCTTGGAAAGCTTGGATTCTGATTCACACTCCCCAGCTGGAGCTCAGTTGGAGACATAGGTTACGTTTATACATATGCAGAGGAAGTAGAGCAATTCTGTCAACTCAGAAGAAAGGTAATGCAAATTTTCTCACGTGACTCTCACTTTAGCAGAGTGCTGTCTGAGGATGGGCGCTGGGGTTTGCTTGTATAACTCTCAGTCAGGACCAAAAAAAGCCATATGTTTTGCTGCATGCCATTGTCTCTTCCTCCCATGGTAAGGAAACGAAAGCCTGCTTCTCTACTAGTTTCATGAAATCTATCTAAATCCTGGTAACATGTCTCTGAGAATTTGCTCAGAGGGAATAATAGACAAGGGCACACCCTCCATTGCTATGTTACTGTTCCATGAGTTCCAGACAAAAGCATTTACTGTGGTTTGGCAGCAACCATCTATTCCTAAAACCCTGGGACTGCATTGTTCTTTACTTGTCAAAAGCTGATTTAGTACCTACAGGCACAGATTGCAGGGTTCATCTTTTTAGGAAGGACCTTCAAGGTTTCTAGACTACCGGTGTCACCTCTCTCAGCCAGTAAAACCACTTGGAGGAGTCACACCAAAGTTGACTGTGAAGACCAGGCTGTCAATGAAGCCTGCCTTGCAATGAATATTCAAGGATTTTCATTATGACCCCAGCTTAAAGGGTAATGCTCCAGAAACTGAACAATCCACTGCCAGCCCCATAATAAACGTTAAAGAAAGGTATGTCTTAGGGAAAAATATTGTTAAGGACCCAGAATTGTTTCTCTGCGTGTTTGGAAGGCTAATAATGGTAGGGGGGTTTAACTGGAACTCCTAATGATACAAAGATCCTGCAATCCTATCTGTAGCTAAGATAATGAGCCTGGGACCTAAACAAAGCTATTAGGAGGCCCTTCTTCTGCTCAGAATACCATATCTTTACTTTTAAAGCAGATCATTAAAAATAATATTTAATGAAAAGTCCATCTGTTTTCCATTGAGAATATGCTTCTCTTTTTTCTTCCTAAAAAAAGGAATGAAGTTGAGTGAAGTTTTACAGCATACGGTGCTGACACCTTCACAGTGTAACAGGACAAGCCAACACTTGATGGAGTTCCTTTGTCCAAGGAGGTATACAGGAGGTGACATGAGGTATATCTATATCTGTTAATTTGAAGTTGCAAGTTTTGGACCTTTAACTTCTTTCATATCTAGGAACTGGGAAGGAGATACACAGATATGGTAGTGATGTAATAAATCTTAAGTCACACAGAACTTCACAGTTCTGGCCTGTTAAGGTTATTTTACAAAACAGTAGCAATAAAAGCTAAATCCTTCCACTCTATGCACTCTTCCCTGCTGAGCTAAATGGGAATTTCCATGGCCTGTTAAGATATGGGGTCTATGACACAAAGCTGAGCGGTCTGATCCTATCTTTTCATGCCCTAAGGACA